GTCCGTCCTTCAGGGCCCTGCTGTTTGGCTGTGGTCAGACAGCTACTTTTCTTGTAGGTTCAGAAAGCAACGTTAGGCAGTGGGGGCCGTGGCCCGCAGGCCCCGTCCGTCCCTCGGGGCCCTACTGTTTCGGTGTGGCGTGCGCGCCCTGGTGTGGCGTGCGCGCCCTGTGTGAGCCTTGGCGGCTGGAAGACAGGTCGTGGCGGCCGTGGCCCGCAGGCCAGGTCCGTCCCTCAGGACCCAGCATGCTGTTTTTTGGCGTGGCAATCGCGCCGTGTGTGAGCTTTGGCGGCTGGAAGACAGGTCAGACAGCTAGCTTTCTTGTAGGTTCAGAAAGCAACGTTAGGAAGTAGGGGCCGTGGCCCGCAGGCCCGGTCCGTCCCTCAGGGCCCTGCTGTTTCGGTGTGGCGAGCGCGCCGTGTTTGAGCCTTGGCGGCTGGAAGACAGCTAAGAGAGTTAGTTTTCTTGTAGGTGCAGAAAGCAACGTTCGGCACTGGGGGCCGTGGCCCGTAGGCCCGGTCCGTCGCTCAGGGCCTTGCTGTTTGGCTGTGGCGGAGGCGCCGTTTTAGGTCAGACAGCTAGTTTTCTTGTAGGTTCAGAAAGCAACGTTAGGCAGTGGGGGCCGTGGACCCCAAGGCGCAACGGCCGTAACCCAATCAGGGCCCTAGCGGTTATTCGTGTGTCGAGCCGCGCCCTAATTGTGGGAGTCCTAAATGGTGAGCAACGGGAGAGCAATAAAGTGGGTAAAATGGGGGTGACTGGGTGGTTACGCGGCTGGCGGGGGCGGCCGTGGCCCGCAGGCCCGGTCCGTCCCTCAGGACCGTGTTGTTTTGGCGTGGCAATCGCGCCGTGTGTGAGCTTTGGCGGCTGGAAGACAGGTCAGACAGCTAGCTTTCTTGTAGGTTCAGAAAGCAACGTTAGGCAGTGGGGGCCGTGGCCCGCAGGCGGGGTCCGTCCCTCAGGGCCCTGCTGTTTCGGTGTGGCGAGCGCGCCGTGTTTGAGCCTTGGCGGCTGGAAGACAGCTAAGAGAGTTAGTTTTCTTGTAGGTGCAGAAAGCGACGTTAGGCACTGAGGGCGGTGGCCTGCAGGCCCGGTCTGTCCTTCAGGGCCCTCCTGTTTCGGCGTGGCGAGCGCGCAGGGTTCTGTTGTTTGGTGAAGGCTCCGTTTGTGATCAGTTCTGCACGGGCCATCGGTCGGTGCGACACTGCTTTCCGTTGGGCGTGCGATGCGTTATTTGAATTTGACCGGAAGCTTTTGTTGAATGCACCACTGTGCCGCATGTTGGACATGTGTGCGCAAGTGTACGGCCTGCAAGCAGGCCATTCGCAACGCGAAATTTTTTGCCGCAGCCATCACCGCGGCGGTGATAGACTTGCCCTGTTGCCACAGTGCTTTGCACAGATTTGGCGCAATGCGGGCAGAGGTATGTGTACACCCGCGGCGTCGCTGTGTCGGGCTCCGCAGCAAGCTGCTGGGTCGATGAATGGGCAACACCCGTTCTGGTTTCGTCTGTTCCCATCGACGTTTGTCTAGCCTCGTGGATTTTCTGAATCTCCTTGCAAACGTCTGCTAGGATTGCTTCGTGTCGTTGACGGGATTCGCGTTGGCGCAAGCGGGCCAAGCGTTGATTCGTGCGATGAGCAAGACGACACACGAAGGCAAAGGCTGTGCATGCATTGCATACTTGTGTACCATCCTGCGTATGTTTCCGACTTTGCTGCCAAGCTGTGAACTCTGCTCGTGGCTTGCGCTCGCTGCACTGGGAACATTGCCAACACCCCCGCTGTTTGGTGGTACATTCTCTGCAGCAGCCGTCCGCGTTGCGAGCTTTCCATGCGGCCGGTCCAAATTCGGCTTCCGGTTTTGCAACGCCACATTTGAAACACGGTTTCTTCATTTCACATGTCAAACACACACGGAAAAAACTATACATTGCCGTTGGCGGTGCTTTTCCGGAAAATTGGTCTCGACATGCCACAGCTTGCACACGTTGCATTGCCATGGCGTCCCGGCATCTGCGTAATGCTTTGTGCATTCGCGACAAACGCGATCTTTGTCGTCGCGCTTCCACTGGCAAGCGGTGAAAGCTGTAGATGGCTTGCGCTCTGCGCAGGTTGAACACGCGCGTTCTTCACAATATTTGGCCAGCAAGTCCTGCCAATTGATCGGTTCCCTGCGAAGATGTCGGAGCAGCAGGTCCCGCCCTAAACCAATACCTTTCTGGAATGGAGCGGCGTCAAAAGGTCGAAAGATCAGGAGCTTCTCACGGCCTTGCACGCGGGTAACGGCGACGTAGACGGTAAATGGATTTCCCCTTGGCCCTATGCAAAGATCTGTCGTCACGCCTTCCTTGATGGTTTGGCCTTGTGCGACATGCGCTGTGATAGCAAACTGCGGCGCCAGCGGGAATTGTGTGCGTGAGACACGGAGCTTGGGGCTTCGACGTTGCCGGTCCAAGTACCACACGCGTCTACAGGTCACAACTGGGTAGACGTTTGCGTCCGGGACACCGGATATTTGCCACGACGTGGCGGTGTCAAACTTCACGTATACCACGGCCGGCAGGTTGTTGCACACCATTCCTTCGGGTGCAGGTGTCGCATCGGCAATCGCAGACCAACCGACTACATAGCCCTTGGTGCCTTTCAGGATTCCACGCTTGCGGTCTAGGTGGTCTGTGGCCCGAACAGGCATGCCCACGCACAGCGGCAAGACGCCATACAGCCCACCGCATTCCTTGTCGTGTCGCTGCAACCACTGCAATTTCTCGGCCGTCAGATTCGGCTTTTCTTGGAGGACCGCTGCCGAAGCAAGATCGCGTGCTACAAATAAATACGGTAGGTGTCCTCGGGCGTTTGCCCATTGGAGGGCGCGGACCTTGTTGACGTGATATATTATATATATATATGTAATTATAAATACAATAACAATAATATGTAACCCGCCGACCCCTGCCGACGGCAGCGGGAGCGCGTCAGAGAAGAGATTACAAGCAACAAGTGTCGACAAGCAACGAGTGTCGACGAGGACTCAAGAAGAGGCAAGAAGTAAGAACGAAGGACACGTGGAAGCTATAGCAGAAGAGGCCTCAGAGCCCTGCTGTTTCGGTGTGGCGGAGGAGCCGTTTCTGGGCTGGGCGGCTGGAAGACAGCTAGACAGCTATATGGGTGCGAGTCAATAATCGGGTATGGATTGCTCCGCGGTGATCCGAACTATGGATCGGGAGTGGTTACGTAAGGTACCTGCTCCGTACCCTTTCGTAAGCGCTCATCATAGCATACAAACGGTGCTGATACTCCTACTCTCTCCTACCTGCTATTACTTCTCCTCCTGCTACTGTTGCTGCTAAAACTGTTGCCACTGCTAGTAGAGGGAGCAGTAAAAAAAACAACACCAGCAGCAGTAGCGGCAATACAAGGAGGAGCTGCAGTAGCAGTAGAAATAGCAGTAGCAGTAACAGTAGTACTAGTAAGAGTCAAAGTAATAACAGTAAAATAATCTAATGGAGTAGTAGTAATAGTAGCAGCAGCAGCAGTAGTAGTAGAAGTAGTAGTAGTAGTAGCAGCAAAAGTAGAAGTAGAAGTACAAGCAGAAGTAGAAGTAGAAGCACAAGTAGCGCAAGAAGCAGCAGCAGAAGTAGTAACAGATTCGGACTTTCATATTGGCACTTGTTGTGGCGTGACTGGGTTCGGATATGGACCAGGCATGGAACGGGTCTGGATCGGGGTATGGATCAGGACACCATGCTTTTTTAGTTCTACACGTGCCAGGCAAAGTAGAAACAGAAGGACTTGTAGTCATAGCACCACTAGAAGTACAATAAGCACCTAGTGGAAGTAGAACCGGTCTTACAAGCCTCCAAGGTGCACTTGCAATATTGCGAGTAGCTAGTCAACTAGTTACATTTGTCCAACAACCGAAGCACACGGAGAACGTGAGCCAGCACCAGCAGCGAGAGCACGACCAGCAGGAGCAGTAGCAGCAGCTCCTGGGAGGATAATCACTAGTAGTGGCGGCGGCAGCAGCAGCGGAGGCAGTGGAGGCAGTGGAGGCAGCAGTAGAAGCAACGGTAGTAGCGATGGGAGTAGCAGTACGACGACCAGAAGCAGTATATATTAGGATAAAAAGCATCGTTAAGGCCAGCATCAGTCTTTCTTCAACGAGAAAGGGGTATGGATCTGGGGTATGGATCAAAGTATGGATCGGGGGGTATGGATCGTGTGTAGCTTTGGCGCCTTGATCCATACCTTGTATTTTGACTCGTACCCATATAGTTTTCTTGTAGGTTCCGGAAGTGACGTATGTGTCAACTCCCCCTCTCTCCCAGGGGTCGGCGGCAGGGGGCGTAGCCCCTTAATATTCATATGCATACGGATGTGCACATCTATTTCCAAATGCACATCTAATTCCTATCAAAAATAGATGAAGAATATGGGCCATATATGGGTTTCATATATACTGAGGTTTTTTCTCGAACCCCCGGTGCGTGTTTTTCCTTCCCCCAGGCACCTTGGCGGAATTCCGTAGCTCCTGGTCTGCAAGCGCATCTCGGAGGACGCGCTTGGCTTCCAGGATGGTGCTTTCGTCGGAGAGGACGCGATTCACCACCTGTCGCAGAGCTTCACGGGGCCACTGGAGCCATGGGGCTGGATCAAAGTCGCTAGAGATGCATATATATATAATTATATATATATATTACATCATGTCACATATTGTCATATGTTGTCAGATTTTGTCAGATATTGTCATGTGTACATAATATATATATATATGTATATATATATGTATATATATATACATATATATAGATATATACGCATATAATATCATCTAAATAAAATGCAGCTGGACAGTTGGTTTCTCTTTGCAAACACCCAAAAGCATCTCGGCATGGCCTTAGACTGAAGCAAGTCCGGGGGTGATTTTGGCACTACCAAAATCAATCCATAAAGTATTTTAAGATATTTTAAGATATTTGAGTCTGGGACAAACATCTTATATCATCTTAGAATCTTATACAATATTCCAATTTGTTCATCCTGTTCCACTACGCCACAACCACCAGATGGAGCAAGCACCTGCACGGCCAACTGCTCCGCTTCATTCACCACAGGGTCCATCTGCAGTGCAGTGACCACCAAGTCCCTAAAGCCGCAGGTCACATCCTGCCGCGGGTGACGACGAAAACGTTGGTTATTTTTACGGTATCCCAAAAGGCTGGGTGATGTTGGCATTGTTTGGGGGGAGAAAAAAAAAAAACGGTTTTCCAAATATCCCATTTTAGGGCGGAGATGATGGAGATGGAAAGAGCATGTGTCCGAAACCATCAACCACATGATAGTCTCGCGAGCAAGCGGCATGTTCAGGGCTTCCAACTAAACATCCCATCCATGTTTCGGGCGTGTATGCTTGATTCTGCCATAAAAACATGTTTCGAGCTGTCCCCAGAAGAAATCCACAAAAGGTGTGGTTGCTCCTTCCTAATTATTAAACTGCAACGATGTCTTTTTGCAAAAATATGTCAAATATGTCAAGGTCAGTATGATGATACCAGTTGCCATTAATGGTGGGGTACCCCTCTATGAGGGGTATCTGAACATAAGGTACCCAGGTACCCCAAAATCTTGTGATTTTTCTCGTTTTCCCCAATCTGGCCATCAATTTCTTGGAAACTCCATCAAAGCCATGGACTTCCGTAAGCACTGAAGCAATCACCGGAAAGGAGTTGCAATGGATATGTCAGATATTAGTGTTTCTGGAAATGGATTCCACGGATTCCTGGAGGCTTCTCTGGCCCTAATCTGTTTGGAGCTTGTTTGAGAACGGTGAAGGTAGTCAGTTATTGCATGATGCCAACCAGCTGCCACTGCATGGTGCCACTGCATCGCGCTCATCGCGCTCCTCGCGCATCACTAAATCATAGGCCCACAAGGCAGCTGCGTCGCGGGAGGACTGGCAGGCTGGAACCACGCTGGGAAGATGTGGAAATCTGGCGATCAACACCATCAACACCCTGGTAGGCATAGACAGTATGTAGTTCACATCATATAGAAATGCTGATGTTTATGGATATGTGCGGATTGTTCTTCCCCTTTGTGTATCGAAGAATCGTAGGTTTTGACATGTTTTGACCTACCCCTATGTGTTGCTTGACTAAGAACCCAAAGACCTCAGTCTGAGAGATCCTAAAAGGTAGCCCAGCAGCAGACCAGTCCAGCCTGCAAGTTGATCGCATCCACCAAGAGACCGCCAACACGCTCCTGACAAAGTCATCAAGCACAATGACTTATTCCTGCAAGATCATGACCATCAGAAAACCTGACCTGATGTAGCCTGATGACGCTCTCAAAGATTGCTGCTGCTGCACGCACGTGCTCCAAAACTCTTGGAGTGCCTGTCGAACTGTGTTGGAGACTCAAACTCCAAACGTTCATACTAAAACTAAGACGGAAACCGAGCCGTGCTCAGTTCACCCTGTAGCGGCAAAGCCCGGGAGTGTCACCCAGAACGGAGGTTGGCCCGGCGTTGGCGATGGCTTACTGGCAGATCTGTGGCAGCACAGCACCAATAGTCATCAAACATCCACCGGCCATAGAGATGTTCTTCAAGGTGTGCAGCATCTGCTTGAAGTCCTTGCCTCCTGCGGATTACGAACCATGGCAACGCCACCCGTGGGACCATGGGATATCAATGAATCAAGCACTGCTGGTGCTAATCTGGCGGCTACCTGGTTGAAAGTACAGAAAACCCAGGTGGAATCTCAACCAAGTATGCAGTATGCATGTCAACTGTTTGCCAAGCATTGGAAAACTGCGACTTGCCTGCCTGGTTTTCTGGTGGTTTTCCGATGGATGTGCATCTGTTTGCCAGACAGTAATGGCGGAGTAATCAACGAAGACAATCATCTCATGTCTCTTCTTCGCACTTAGAGTTAGAGATTGCGGGAGGACTTGGAAGAAGATCTTCTTTTACGTAAAAGAATATTTGTATGACCAGTTTAAGTCTGAAACTTTGCGGGCCACGGCCATTTTAGTTCTCTTCCAGCGAGCCCACGCCCGAGCGGGGTCCAAGTAAAGCTGGTCTCCACAATGTTTCACACATGGAGAGGAAAAAGCCAGCCAACCGCAAGCTAATGACTGAAACCAGCTGCTTGCCCAAACAGATTTATAGACTGAGGGCAGTTTTCAGCCAAGAAAATTGAAATGTATAATCGTGTCCAGTGTGCTGGACCAACATCGTTAGCCAAGTAATGTACGCCATCGAGAGCGTACTCAACCAGAAACTGAAATCACAACGGAGAACGAAGCCGATGAAGCTACAGAAGCTCATTCCAATCACCGCCCTCATGCACAGCTCCGTGACCAGCAACAGAATTACTTCAAGCAAAAGGCTGTAGCTGTTCGCGATGAGACTTTCCTCTAAATTGGCATCTGCCAATCCCAGATAGTAAGAGCTGTTGTGTCCCAAGAAAGTGCTGCTTTGCAAGCACAATAAAAGACATATGTAAATCAAAGGGGCCATTATCTCACATACTTCCAACATGACGACAGCTGAGAGTGAGCTGGAGACTTCATTCAGCAATTTGACATCTTCCTTTGCCCAACTTATCTGATGAAGATCCTTCTTTGAAATCTGTTCACAGCTTTGAGCAATCTCTTTCAACCTTCGTCGCACGCCCTTCAATCCACGGTATGACGTGCGACAGGTTTGTGCGACTTGCTGTGTGGACCTTATGTTCCTTATATTGGCCATGGCCAAGGCTTGTTCAGTCTCTTGATTGTTCGACAAGAGATCAAAGAGCACCAAACCAACAGAACTCAAAATTTGCACGGCTTCTGGTAGAACCAGGCTGAGAAACACCCAAATTCCCTTGGCCTCAGATAACATGGAGGCTTTGAAGATGACCACTGGAAGTTTGATGCAAGTCCGCATCTCCCGCACAACGTGGACAGGAATGTTCCACCACATGCCCAAAGTCCTGGAGATGGTAACCACGGAGAGCTCGATTGTGGAAAGAGCTAAGCTCATGGCTAACTGCACTCCCATCTCCACCTTGCTGAAAAAGGCTGTATAGAAAAGCATCCCAGCATAGAGAAAGAAATACGCTGACCAAGAGCTAAACGTGAACTTTGCGAAGCTCGCCGTGCTCTGGAGAGCTCGCACCTCTTTGGGAAGGAGGAGGTAGAAAACTCCCATGCTCGAAAATGCTGCTGGGGTGCATGAGAGCACCGTTGAGAATGGAATTGGGTAAACATTCGCAAAGGACAAGAGCACGTGCTCGCTGGCACACCAAAGTGAGTCTGCTATCGGCGCCAAATGCAGAGATCTCTCAACTTGTCTTGTAATCTCTGGTCTTTGCGCTTTGCACAAAGAAGGCCTGCTCTCCAGGTCCCACAAGATTTGTCTCGCGAACCACCCAATGACCCCTCGAGCAACGATGTAGTTTGCAACAGGATGCGCCACAAAGTTGAACATCCAATTTCCCCAAAAACCCATCTCTGGCTTCTGAAAGGGAAAGAAAACAAAGGCCCAAAGCACAACCAGTGCCAAACTCGCTCCAAAGATGGTCATGCAACAAATCGGAAGAAGTATCCGCCAGCACCTGGAATCACGGTCGCTGCAAAAGTTCTGCAAGTGCAGCAACGTTTTGTCGTTCATGTGGCCGGCGAAGCCCTCACTCTGCCACTCGCCATGCATTGTTGGGCAAACGCCAGCTGGGCTGGCTGGGCTGTCTTCGCTGTGAAGTTCTTCTCGTGAGAGATGCCCTTGTTTTCCCTTGTCCTCACAAGAACTGACTGAGGAATTTGGCCTAACAGTACAACCTCTAACAACTAACAACACCCTTTGAATTAAAGCATGTACACGTTGCTGCTTCAATTTCGCTACTAAGCATGTGCCCCTTGAGAGCCTACTTGTGCCAACTTCAAACATGTAGTGTAATATTAGTAATATGTATTGAAATTGGTGTTTGTCTTCTCTCTCTCTCTCTGTGTAGGTGTGATGTGTCCACTTTCTGCACCTCACCCCAGCCTGCATTTTTGTCACAGTTGGCACAAGATTGATACATGTTCGCAAGCGAGACCACTCTGATCCATATCTGAAGCAAATGAGGTCGTATGGTTTGAACAAGTTCACATGTTTGAATAAACTACTCACCATCAGATGTGTTTCAGATAGAAAGAACTCTCAGGGAACTCGTTCAAACGGTGGCCATGGTTGTTCAAAGAATACCCTTGAGGGGCACGAGCAGACATTTGACCTTTTTGTATGGCAAATACACGTATTTTGGAAGATTTCGTAGTGCTGTGTTTACCTGGTTGGCACGGGCAAACATAATGTGTGCGATGTGGGGTGTCTTACCATCAGATACGAGTACGTTTCAGATGGGCGTTAGCGCTCACAAACATGTCAAGATCCCTTTCAGGGCGCAAGAAGAACAACTTTGCAGACTTTGATGTTCAACTCGTCTATATGAGTGTAGACAGAACGCGTCTTCAACTTGAAGCTGTTCCTGCTCGACTTTGCTGTTTTGTTTGGCACTAGTACCACTGATCTCAACATTTTCTGTTTTTGTTTCTGTGTTGTGTATTTAACCACGTCTTTTTATTGTGTTGAACCCTCATCATTTAATAATATTTTCTATCTCATCTAAACCCTCTATCTTCTTTCTCCGCCACATTACATCTATTGGTTTCTTTGTGCCCTTTTCTTCATCCAATTCTATCACTGTCTCTACATCGCTCTTCGTTATCCCAACATCCGCGCAGATACATTTGACACGCACAATAGGTTTAACATATGTGTATACACATGAAACAATACATATGAGATGTTTTCCTGAGACAATACAACGATGATAAACAATACATGCATCATCTTACATTTTCCCAGTACACACAAACCTCTTAATACATCGGAATATTCTGATCATGGAACCGTTTCCCTCGCAGGCCAACCGTCGTCTAATTTCTGATGTTGTTTGTTGTGCTTAGTGTGTTTGATTTCAGCCGCAACAAGCAGACTGGGACCCTCACCCGCTATGAAACTTGCACTCTCAGAATCTCTCATGATTATTGGCCCAACAAGAAAAATTGCCGTTTGATAGAATTGGAAAACCACTGAATCAACCGAACTGGCAGCACTTCTACAAATAAACCCACCCTCTAAAACTGCGACTGCTCACGCCTCATCATCCACGTTACCCCCATCTGCTAGGCAATCTTCCTGGCGTCCGGTATTACATTCCAGGCGGCTTGCAGATTTTGAGACACACACACACAAAGTAGACAGAAAAAATGATCACCATCATGATTGGTTGGGACATGAATCCCCCATACAAGAACAAATCAAACCCTAGACACACAAAACTTGAGGCACGGATATATGTTTTGTATGTTTGTAATGTATATGTTTGTATGTTTTTGAACGAATGTACCCAGGCACACACGTGCGTAATTACGTTTGTTTGCGTGCGTGTATGTGCCTATGTGTCTGTGCGTCTATGTGCGTGTGCGCATGTATGGTTACATGGATATACGGATCTAAGCACGAGCGCGCGGGTAATTCTGTGCATGTATGCGAGCATGGATGCATGGATGCATGGATACACGAATGCACAAATACCTGCATACATAGGCAGACGGACGGACAGACAGACAGACAGACAGGCAGACAGATGGACGGAGAGACAGACAACGGAAAAGCAGACATGCAAGCATGCATACATACGTGCGTACGTATGGCACACCTGACTACACACATACATACGTACGTGACGCACGTGCATACCTACATACATACATGCATACATACGCACAAACGTACATGCATAAATTCAGAAGTGCATACATGCATCCATGCAGGCAGGTATGCAGGCGTGCATCGTGCATCTGCGCACGTCTTCATGCATGTATGTTTGTATCCCTGTGAGCCTTACCTTCGCCCAAAGTTTCATCAGAGATTCAAAAAATTAGGGTTAATTTTAGGCAATTGAGGGTCTGTTTTAGGGTCCGTACTGTTTGTTGTCAAAGGCTTGGGGTTCAGGTCCAAACGTCGAAAAACATGCAGAATGTGTTGCTCAAACTGTCCTCTTGGCATCCCGTTGGGCCAGAAATCCAAAGGGGAAACAGGGAATATTGACAGTTTTTGATGTTTCAAGTTTACGGAAACCACGCCCCGCAACAAAACAACAAGCTGCGGCCAGCATTTCCAGGCAAACCTCAACCCCCTAGTGGGATTAAACATTGCCTTCTGCGTAACAACCAGGCTGCCACCTTCACCGGCTATGAAACTTGCACGCTCTGAATCTCTCATGGCTATTGGCCCAACAAGAAAAATTGCCGTTTGATAGAATTGGAAAACCACTGAATCAACCGAACTGGCAGCACTTCTACAAATAAACCCACCCTCTAAAACTGCGACTGCTCACGCCTCATCATCCATGTTTACGCTGATGATAGATCCATTTGAAAGCCCATCCGCTAAGCAATCTTCCTGGCGTCCCATGTCCCACCAAAAATTCAGAAAGTGCTCACTATATTGACCGGTTGGGAATTGAATCCCGCATGCATGAACAAATCAGACCCTACACACGCACACATACACACTTGCTGAGAACAACCTTTGCGAATTCTAATGTGGAATGCATCTTACGTGCAAAAACACTCCAATTACACCTGACAGGAGTGGGTCGAAGAAACGACCCGAGAAAAAACCGAAAAGGTGCCATCGCCATGTCCAGTGCTAGATGAAATTAGTTGACAGATTGCGACAACAGTGCAGAAAACGAAGTGAAAATCAAATCGACATGCCGGTTCTCGGCTTAGCCGGTTGCCATTGACGATAAATGGAAATGGAAAAGTGCAGGTACGTGCAGTTGATCAGACTGCATATCCCCTCCAAACATCAATAGCTTCGTTGGCCACGGACTGATGTATGGAGCCGTGGCCCCCTGCTACAAATCAAGTAGAAGTTTTACATCTATTCTTCAAATGTTTCACACACACGCCCCGCTGCCGCGGGGCTTTTAGTATGAGTACAGTCCATGACATTACATACATGAGTATGCATGTATGCATGATGTATTTACGTACAAGATTCCGCAATCGCGTGCGTAATATCTACATTCATACAATCCAAGTACACATTGTACATGCCAGCAGCTCTTCAGTTTCACCAGCCAACTCCAGGCAAATACAACCCATGTGTTTGATAGCTAGTAACTGCTGTTTGAGGTTCTGAATAGATCTGACACTTTGAATCTGAATCTGTGTCAGCTCGTGTCGGTTTGCACATGACCTCTGCACCGTCCTGCACATGCACAGCATCTCCAACACCGTCAACATGTGATAGCCTGGCAATAAATAGAAGCGACCAGTGTCACTACTGTGCCTCTCTCCTTTCAACAAAGTCTGCAAGCGTGTACTCTTACCAACGTGTGCCTTTTGTAAACCAGCACATCCTTACACTCGTGTGCATATGCGGGCTAGGGGGAAAGCTGCAAAATGAGCGCCCCTGACACAGCTTGACATGGACCAGATGAGCTCAGTTAGCAACATCTTCAGTTGTCTCCAACCAGACTTGTTGCCAACCAACCTCGCTGCACACAAGATCGGATCGTCCCCTGCCTGTAATTTTCCTGCAGTTGTAGGAGATCATCCCCATCTCCAGACGGAGAGAAACTACCCTCCACAGCGTCCAGTTGGTTGTCTTGGGCCTGGCTGATGCACATATCAAAATAGGGGTCCTCCGCTCTGCAGTCTTTGTCACAAGGCTCATGATGATTCTCAGAGAATTCCAGAGATATGTGTTGTTCCATGGCATGTCCTTCCGGATAGCATACCGCAAGGTTGTTTAGGAGAGCCAAGACACGGTCACGTGGCCCGAAGACATTGCTAATGGCTCCTGACCAGACAATGCTGAACATTCTGTATGCGTGCCGGAATCTGATAAATTGACATGTCTGAAGCCATTCTGGGACCTCTTATTCCACTGCAGGCAGGAAATCACTGGACGCCCTTCCCACAATGAAATTTCCAAGACTCGACAGTTCCAGAAAATCTGGTGCAGGAGCTACTCAACTACAAATACACGGTACCCGAGCATCCAAGGGACAAGAGTGACAAAACTCCACAAGAAATCACAAAAGAATGGCCATGTCAGGCATCTGGTCTCCTGGTTTACTGAATGAAAATGTGGGGAACAACTTTTTAATCTGTTGTTTTGTGTGAAAAGGAATCGCCTTCTTTATATACCCTTTTGTTCCCTTCCCGAAAAAATAAAAAAACATGTCGCGGGAGTGCTGTGAAATGCTATTGGTATTTCGGGTCCCTCAAAGGATTAGTTCAAATTGGCCTTGGGTTCAGATAGTATTTTATAACCAAGCGAGGATCCCTGGAATTCTTGTCGCCTGCATGCAAACCACCAGTTTAGAGGCCAACAACTACCTGGTTTACTGGTCTGAACTTGAACATTGCAGCAAAGCATGTGAGAAGCTGGGTCACAAGACTTTGTGCCAAAATGTTTTTGGGACTAGACTGTACTCGAAGAAGTTGGTGGCAATCGCTTGAGAAAACTCTAGTCAACATGAACACAATCAATGCAATCCTGGACTTGAAACTTGTCAACAGGCTCATACCAACAACAAACCGGAAGTGTCATAGCATTCATTGCAAAAGTGGATCATAACATGGTCAAAACCCAGGTACTCATCCCCCACTTTCGATCAATCCCGGCCTGAGCCTCGCTGCAGCCCGCTTGCGGCACTTAGAGTGATGAGGCCAGATTTGTCTTGAAACTGCAGCCACTTATCAATGTTCTACTAGCTTTGCCCCAAAAACTGAAGAGATCAAAGTATATATATATATACAATATATATATATATATACAGTGTATATATATGTGTGTGTGTGTATGATATGGTGTGTGTGTGTGTGTGGATCACGGATTAGCCTTTCGGCATTTTGTTGCCAAGCGTGTCCGTCTAGTCTCCCGCCCTGTAGCCAAACTGCTATGGCGCACGATTGCAATCGCTCGAATCCCCAGTCTATTTACTGCGGCTTGGTCTTTGTTCTAGAAAGTTGGAACAGCGTGATCTGCTACTTGAGCCATTTCAATGGTTTTTGAATGGTGTATGTAATTTATAGATATTTGTAGTATGGATTTCAACACCTTGCTGAGCGTTGGAAATCTGGAACCTTTTACCCAAGTTCAGAACCGGAGAACACTGTACTTGGAAACCTGAACGCTCCGTTCGGAACCATGGCGACCAGCCCCCCAAGTCTAAAATCTATAAATGACTGGCTGCGATAGGTGGCTTGACGCCTGATATTGCTACAGAACTGCAGTCAACATGCAGCACCTGGTACCCCCTCCTGACTGCTGTAGAGGTTTGAAATGCACAAAGTAGGTGGACATCAACAGGAAGAGCAACAAGCATTCAGCGCCAATCTCCATGAAGACCTTTGGGTCAAAGGATGTCAAAGGTCATTTTGGTGAGGCTCCTCATACTTTTGAGGTCAGCTCAGTTGTTGAGTACTGAATACTCCAATAAATCAACATCAATGAACCCACCCAACCACAACCACAACCACCGGCCGATAACGCGCCATTCTGCCGCGCAACTGGGATGCCGGTGAGGTACATCCCGGACCCTGCCAAGAGCAGCAAGGGCCCAACTAAGGCTGACAACGTTGGCAGCGGAATGCCAAAGGTCTTGTTGATCTCCACCTTGGTCGAAGGACAAATGTGGCAGGTTGGCCTAGAAAAAGGATGGTCCTTCTGAACTAACTCACCTTTCACTGACATGTCCAAGCCACCGTCTCTTTGAAGTTCAGCAGATGCTTCAGGCCACCAAAGAGAAAGACCAGCACAAACCTGCCACATGAACGCAGAGATATGGGCGTGTCTAAAAATGGTGGGAATACCGGAATACCCCAAAACTATCCAAAACTGCCATTTCAATGGGGAAGATGACAGATGATGGTCAAACCGTAGACCCTATTTTCAGACAAACTCAAATTTTAGCCATACCTCAGCACAAATGGATGAAAATTGAATCTAATGGATCCTGTGCCCCTGCCAACTCCCTTCAAAATCAGGCAAGCATAGGCAAGCAACAAAATGATGCCGCTGTACTTGAAAATGTAAGAGTACGGCTTGAGAGCTCCTGGCTGGCAGGTTGATGCTGGCATCCCCTCTTGTTTTAGTATTGCACGCTCTCAAGTCCTGTTGGATGTTGGCAATTGGTGACTTGCTCTCGGTTTGCAAGCTCTTTGGGCTAGAGCTCTGCTGCAGCAGTCCCCCTCTTCTGGTCACTTGACTGCTCTTCATTGTCTTTCTTTGGATCCCTTGTTCATCTCCGTTACCCCATGAATCCGACCCCATCCAAATGAGCCAAGAAGCGGTAGATTTTTCCAATAAATTCTCCGAAGCTTCCAAGGGCCCCATTGAGGCCGAGGGGAGTTCCATCCTTTCCTTAGCTCTCTATGCTGCGGTTCATGATTTGTGACAGCCTGGGATTCACAGACTTCAAGGAAACGAAGGGCCACCAAACGTTTTGGCTTTGGGCAGACCGAACAATGCAAAACATCGCAAAACTGATCCCTTGCAGCAAAGAATCCAATCTCTGGAACTTCAAAGCCAATGGTCAGCAAGCATTGCCCGATAATGGCAGCATTCTTCAGGAGCATCTCCTTGGTGCACACGACTGGGTCCAGGTACCATTCTGCTGCTTTGAGGATCTCCCCTGCGATGCGGTCGAGGGACCATGTGGAATTCTTCCTTTGTTTCCCTCCACGGCTTGAAGTGCCCCACATAGCTCGCCAAAATCCTTTTGCCCAAGGACAACAACGAAACCAAAAAACTGCGGATGAAGAGTTCACCGTTCTTTTGGGATGTTCATTGTCCCGTGTCCATTGATTGAATTGATTGTGTTCCCCTTCTTGGATATTTGTTTGGTGCTCTAATATATTTCTCCATGTCCATGACGGTGATAAAATCTCCCCCTATCTGCCAAACAGGTTCATCTGGCATCCAAGTTGCATAAAGATAAGTATGAATTCTGCGCCCCACTCCATCAAGACAGGAATGCCTCAGCATCCAACGGCTTCCAACTAACTAAGCCAACCATAGGACCTTGGAGGTACCACGTTTTCTGGCTTCGCATGGTTTAGGCATCGCCAATTTGTTACACACTCACAGGATCTCACAGGGACTTCTAAACACAAGGACTTCAATTTGAGGAGCAATGAACAGTGGCATGCTAGTAACAGGGATGATGCCATGCTCCAAACTACCCGTTGTGTTTCCCAATGATCCATCCAAGGATCCCGTGAGATAGCAAACACAGCCGGCAATCAAGTCCAGGATGGCCCCAATGGTCATGAACGTGGGGCACCTTATGCATCCCATCCCATGCGGGTCCCAGAGTCCCAAATATTCCAAAATGGGAATAGCTCACTCGGCCAGGTCAGGGGACATCCCAAAAACCTGCAGACTCTTGTCTTGGTGCCTGAAAAACCCAAAAACATAGGTCAATCATGGCTTCTCATCCACCATCCTCCCAAAAACTCGGCATTCCAAGTGGGAAGATATAGGAAAATCCCAAATAGGCATCCCCCCAATAGACATAAGCATCCCACCAACTTCACCTCACACCAAGCTGCGGGAGCCCAAAGCCTTCCACAATCTTCACCTAGATCTGGGTTTAAAAAAACATGATGATACCCCCATGGGCACCTGATTCTTGGGGACAACAACCATATGGATTCCAAAGAAGTTGAATACTCACTAAGCCAGGCAGAACTTTACCATTTATATATATATATGCCTTCATTCAATTTTGCTGGGCATGCAGCTGGGACCCATAGCCACAAGATGCCAAAAATGGACTTTTACTGACACGGAATAAAACCTGAGATGCTGCTGGTTTCTGCCACATCCATTTTCCTGGGCTCCGTGCTGTGCCCTTGAAGTCCTTCTATGAGTCGAGATGAGGCTGGTCCCAGCAAAAGTTGACTGACATCATTTTTCATGGGTCTGGATGAAGAGCGGGGTGCCAATTGACCCACCAAAAAAAATGGTACGTACAAAAATTGATGAATTTGGTGTTTCTAGCATTAAATAAACCGTCCCATTACTGGGCAGTGACTAAGTCATACTGAAAATCTAGAGGTCCTTGATCTTGTTGATCGTTGAAAGGATGAAGATCAGCACGAACAGCAGGATCCCAATATCACGAATCCAAGGTGCCTAAGATCAAAGGTTCTGCTGCCAGGGTCTTTGGAATGATCAAAAGTGTGCACTGCAGTCAAGCTACGGCAGGCAGGAGTAGGTCGTAATAGCCTTGGAGCGAGCTAGTCGTAAGGCCAGGATGAGAATCCAAAAATATCCAGCGGAAATATTGGCTGACCAATCCCTTCTTGCTGACAGTGTTCTGCCAAGCCAATCTGCGACTTCAGACCAATGCGTGTACCCACACGACTGGAAGTATCAAAGACCGGAAAAGATCAAGAAAAGGTTCAAACACCTGAAAACTGTCAAAGAGAAGACAAAGAAGACCACATCTAGGAGTCTTAGACGGTCTTAGAGGCAAGGGGCTGCAAAACGCGTGACTATCTAAGAGGCCTTTCTTTGACTCCGCTGCCAACACCAGGGCGTCTGGATCACCTCGACTTGCACGACTCCCAGGTGCCCCTGTAATTGGTAGTTTTTACCAATCCTTTGCTGGTAGCCCCTGGTAGCCCTTTTAGGTTCTAATTTCCAACTTGCAATTCTGATATAGTTATTATGCACGTAATTAGTAATTAGTACACAGATATTGTGGATTATACCCCTGTATCACCTCATGAGTGCCATATGCTTGCCACAGTCTACTTAGTTTCCACCAGTTCCGATAAACAGCGTGAAACGCTATAGACGCGCCTCCAGCGCTGGTATGCGCCAAAACCACCAACTGGGCAACGCCCATCAGCATACATGTGGCACCTGCGACCTCATGGGCCAACGGCCAACACCCATCAAACCCTGGCCGTGGGGACCCCCCAAGGTGACTGTGCCTTAACATGCGACTGTTGGTGGTTAAGACCTTAACCAGGTCACTTTTGGGGGGTTAAAACCCCATGAAACTCCCCATGAAACAACCAGTTGAATGAAAAAAATCCTGTCGTGCTATCAATGTATGTTTTCCTCAACGTTTTTATGTGACACACAACGTGCTTTGTTTGACCGATGAGTCCAGCAAAAAAAACTCCCCACCTCCTTCAGTCTGTTATTAATAGCACACCAACTTCAATATGTATATATATATATAGTATGTATGATATATGTAATATATTCGTTTTTACATACATATGTAGGTGTATGTGTATATATACATACATATATGTGTATATAATATCTATATATATATGCATACACATACGTATATATACACATATACACATATGTATACATGTATATATATATCAGATATTTAATTTTATATATACTATATATATATATATACTATATATATATACTATATATATACTATATATATATACTATATATATACTATATATATATACTATATATATATACTATATATATACTATATATATACTATATATACATACTTTATATATATATACTAGATATATAGTGTGTAAATATATATATACTATATATATATATACTATATATATACTATATATATACTCTATATATATACTATATATATATACACTCTATAAATACTATATATATACTATATATATATACTATATATACTGTATATATATACTATATATATACTATATATATACTGTATATATATACTATATATATACTATATATATACTATATATATACTATATATATACTATATATATACTATATATATATACAATATATATATATACTATATATATATATACTATATATATACTGTATATATATACAATATATATATACTATATATATATACTGTATATATATATACTATATATATAGTGTATATATATACTATAAATATACTATAAATATATACTATATATATACTATAAATATATACTATATATATACTATATATATATACTATATATATACTATATATATATACTATATATATATACTATATATATATATACTATATATATACTATATATATTTACTATATATATACTATATATATACTATATATATACTATATATATACTATATATATATACTTTATATATATATATACTATATATATACTATATATTTACTATATATATACTATATATATATACTATATATATACTATATATTTACTATATATATACTATATATATATACTATATATATACTATATATATATATACTATATATATACTATATATATACTATATATATACTATATATAGTATATATAGTATATATATACTATATATATACTATATATAGTATATATATAGTATATATATAGTATATATATAGTATATATATAGTATATATAGTATATATATATACTATATATATATACTATATATATACTATACATATACTATATATATATATTTACTATATATATACTATTTTTATACTCTATATATATATACTATATACATACTCTATATATATATATACTCTATATATATACTATATATATACTATATTATATATATATACTCTATATACTCTATATATATATTATATATATACTATATATATATATACTCGATATATATACTTATATATAGTGTATATATATAGATAGATAGTATATATATATATACATATATAGTGTGTGTATATATATACTATATATATATATACACTATACATAGTATAACGTATGTATAATAATGTGTAAGATCCACAGCCATGTCCCAATCTCCGCACCTCTACCCATCGCGCATGGCCGCGCTGGCCCTGCTCGGTCTCGACCTCATGGCTCTCCGGGTCCAACAAAGGCGCTCCAAACATGGCGTGGTCGAGGCTCTCGTGGCGCTTCAAACGGCTGTGGGGATTCCATGGAT